TTGTAATTTTTTGAATTGGTGTGGTTGTGGATATGTGTCATGCCTACTATATATAGAAAATATATCAAATGAATATGTGGTTACAAATCTGAATGACCACACCGACTAAAGCAATCAAATTTTCAGCCACGGAATAGGTATACTATGCTAGTTGACAATGACAAATCTTGACAAAGTGAATTCAGAAAAATGTGGCTACACCATGACAAAGACTTATTGCAATTATGTCGGTATCAATGACCCAAAGTAAAAGCATACTGACAAAGTTAATTCAGAAAAATGTGACTACACAATGACAAAAATGTGACTAATCAATGACAAAGAGTTATTGCAATTATGTTGGTATGAATGACCCAAAGTTAAAGTGAAATCAGAAAAAAGTGACTACTCAATGACAACAATTGAATGCAACTATGTCGGTAACAATGACAACTGAAATCAACTTGTTAAACAACTTGTCATTCAATATTGGAAAATCAGAATACAAGTTTACATATGACATTGAAATTAAACACATCACTAATACAAGTTAAACATAAAAGACTACATTGCGCATAATTAAAAACTTAACTAATACAAGCGTACACCTACTACAACCAAACATGCTTACAAACCCTGTAATTTACCTAGTAAAAAATTCTTGTACGACTCTTCTTCAGGAGTGAGTGGCGTAGGCGAATTCTTCAGAGCTTGCACCATATCAAACTAGGTTTTCATCTTATGAATGTCAAGTTCCTCCCTTTTCCTCTGTTCCTTGTCCTTTTCAATTTTGATCCTCTCTTCCTTCAGAATGGCCTCCCTCTCGCGAATTGTAGCGAATTCCTTCATTCGTTCGCTAAGCTCAGACGAACCACTTTCTGAAGCTACTTCTTTCCCTTTACGCTTGGCCTTTGCTTTCTTCACACCTTCGGGTCGTTGTATTCCTCCGGATGAAAAACCATCCGTAGGGGTTTCATCCCCTCCATCATCTCTGGACCTCTTCCCACTTCCAGCACTACCTTGCTCCTCAACATCACAGACAGCTTTTCTTTCCTTCTTTGACAAGGACCATCTCAGCTTTGGCCTCCACTTTAGATCTCTATTAAGCATTTCAACCGCGTGAGGAAAAGCAAAATTGCGACCTAGGGCGAGATGAAAAAGCTTCGACGCACTTTTTATACGGTCAGCTTCATTGTAACCACTCCCTCCCTCCGGAAGTCTACCTGCTCATCATAGCAAGATATCCACTGTAGTGTGTCTGCTGCCAACCTTCTCCAGTGCGACGTCAGACTCTTCATAGGTCTTGGCGGAAGTATATGCGGCTTCTCCGCATGAGCAATTTGATATGCTGCGTGTACATCGCGCCAAAGGGAAGTTGCTTTCTGGCTCGTACTTTTAATAGCATTCTGGCTGATCTCCAAGTACAACCCAATCAGAGTTTCATCTTCCGCAACTGACCAAATTCGAGTCGCTCGTGCAACAACCTGGTTGGATTTCAGTTCGGGAACTGGTGGAGGATATTGCGGCGTCTCTGGTACGCTGTCCTCTTCGCTCTCATTGAATTGTGTGTTGCTATCATGTTCAGTTTCAGGTGTACATTCTTCATTAACATGGTTTCGTAGGGGAAACTGAGTGGGTGTCTGATATTGTGGAGGTGGTTGCAAAGACGTATTGCCCATTCTTTGCAAGAACAATTGAAACTCGGGATTAGTTAGGAAATCATCACTAAAAGCAGAAAATTGTTGACAAAAATTTGGGTTGTTTGGATCCATTAAAAGATTCTGCATCACAAAACAAAAAGATAAATATTTTTACAAAGATTTAGTCAAAAAACAAATTAAAATGACAACAAATCCAAAAAAATATCAACAACTTTCTTCAATTACATAATGCAATTACATTACATGGCATACAATAATTTTTTTTCAAAAAATCACATATATACTAATTTTAATACATAACTAAATTTTAGTATTAAAAAAAAAAAATTAACCAATAATTGCAAGACTTTATTAACTACAAATTTAGTAATGTATGGAGAAAACATCAACAACTTTCTTCAATTACATAATGCAATTACATTACATGGCCTACAATATTTTTTTTTTCAAAAAAACACACATATACTAATTTTAATACATAACTAAATTTATATATTAGAAAAAAAAAACCAATAATTGCAACACTTAAATTACTACAAATTTAGTAATGTATGGAGAAAATATCAACAACTTTCTTCAATTACATAATGTAATTACATTACATGGCATACAATATTTTTTTTTTCAAAAAATCACATATATACTAATTTTAATACACAACTACATGTATATATTTTTTTAAAAAAATTAACCAATAATTGCAACAATTTAACTACAAATTTAGTAATTTATGGAGAAAGTATCAACAACCTTGTTTAATTACATAATGCAATATAATTACGTGGCCTACAATATTTTTTTTATTCAAAAAATCACATATATACTAATTTTATTACATAACTGAATTTAAATATTAAAAAAAAAAAAATATTTACCTGAATATGGGTGTTTTGCAACAAAAATATTCTTCTACAAATTTAAAATGCTTAAGAAAATAAAAATGTGGAGGATTTAAAGTGATTACGAAATTATATCAAAATATATCAAAATGCATGTCTATTTATAGAGAATTTAATTTTATGACCGTTGGTAATTTTTTTTTTTTTTACTAAATATATTTTTCAGAAAATGAAATACAAATATTATTACCGTTGTAAACGGCTCTAATTTTTTCATTGGCCAACATCCTGCGCAAGACACGTGGCGCACTCCCACTGGCGGACTGACGGACGCGCTACAGTAACATTGCTTTTTTTTTTTAAAAATTTTTGAACCTCAAAACGACACGTTTTGAGGTGCGCCTTTAAGGCTGCTTGCCCAAAACGCGTCGTTTTGATATGCTGGCAGCCAAATTTTTTTTAAACGTTGCTGCACGTTGTGGGGCCCACTTCTAACACTATTCATCAGTAAAAATGCCCAAGCTATGGGCGTTTTTGGATTTGCCCATGGGCTCTTTTTTGGTTTTATGGATTTGCTCACCATTGTAGTTGATGAGCATTTTATTTGCTCCCAAAATAGGCCCATGAGCAAATAAAATGCTCACCATTGTAAGTGCTCTTATATGAATATCATATCTATTGAAAATTTTTTTATTAAGGCCTATTTATGTGTTTTTTTTAATAACAATTTAAGAAGTCCATTTTTTAGCTTTCTCCCTTATTGCTTCCCAAGTTTTAAACGAGCCGAATTGGGCCAAGCGGGCCATGATTCAGCCAGCCCATTTTAGGTTTGCATTGACCCTAGCCCGACCCAGCCCATTTAATTAAAGCTTGGCTCAACCTGGATCCGACCCATTAAACAGGTCTAATTAAAACATTATGTCCAATTGCCTATCCAACTCGAAATCTGAATAGATATTTTTCGGGTCAGTTTTGTGTCGAGTCAGTCGGTTCAGACTTTGACGGCTCTAGTTCGAATCTCCTCAAAAATAGTCCACTAACGCTCGAAAGTGGGAAACAAAATAGAAAGATGAGTTACGTGGTAAATACGCTGACGAAGAAGAACGAGGTGGACCAGTGGCGTCACCAGGATTTTCGAAGTGTGGGTTCGAAACTTCCGAAATTTGAAATCATAATTAACAAAGGAATAAAAATACAATAATTAAATATTCAGTACATAAATAAGTTCAAACTATGGATTACAAATAGATTACACATAGAAAAATGAAAAAAAAAAAGACTACAGAAGCATTCTTCGAGTCTTCATACTTTGGAAGCATTCCAATACATTATCATCACTAACTCTTGAAAATAAATCTCTTTCAAGAAAAGTGACTAAATTATCATTCAATAGTTGATCACCCATACTATTTGGCAACTTATTTTTTACGTATGTCATTGAGGAAAACACTCGTTCCACGCTTGCAGTTGCAACCGGAAGGATCAATGCTAGTCTTATAAGCAAGTAAACTAAGTTGTAAGCAGTATGCTTATTTGTTTCAACAAGCATCATAGAAAGCTCATGAATACCCTTCAAGTCTCCAAACCTTGCATCTTGGCGCACATCATTAATATAAAATTGAAGCTCATGACGAAGTGCAGTCATCGTCATATCATTAGTTGGAAACTCTTTGGGATATAACTCAGCAAGTCTCAACAACTTTTGCATATCAAATGCCGCAAATGAATTGATCGGGTTTAAGCATGACACACAAATAAGTAACTCCATATTTTCTTCATCAAATCTACTATTGAGCTCTTGGAGTTGTAAATCAATGACACTTATAAACATTTCTACCCGAAATCGATGAAGATTTGAAACTTTGGCAAAGAAGCGTCTTGACCTTCCACGAGGAACATACATATCATCCATAGTAGGAACTTCTACATCATGTTTAACACAAAAACAAACCACAAGATGTAAAAAGTCTTCCCACCCATGGTCCCTCATTTGTTGTAATCCCTCCTTAGTCAATTTAACATATGTCATGGCATTAACAATATCTTGGTCCCCCTTTTGCAGAGCTTGACACAATTTATCAGTAATCCCAAATATTTAGGACATCAAATGTATCATAAATACAAATTCAAATGATTCAAATGTAGACATGACAGTGATAGCCTTCACGCGATCATCCTTATAAATCTTATTTGATCCAATCTTCTCAAGAACTTTAACAATAGTAGCATACAATGCGGTAACATTTGAAACAGTTTTGTAATGTGATCCCCACCTAGTATCACCAGGCCTACCTAAGCCATGTTCTTGGTTTAAACCTTGCCCACTTTCAATTTCTCCTAGTTCTAATGCTTGTAGAATATGTTGAGATTGTATTTCTCTTATCATTTCCCTTCGCTTACAAGAAACACCAATAATATTCAACAAAATAGCAAGTTGATCAAACAACCAAATACAATCATCATTATCCTTAGCAACAGCAACAAGGGTTAATTGAAGTTGGTGAGCAAAACAATGAATATATTAGGCTTGTTTTGTTTCATTCATGATCAAAGTCTTGAGACCATTTATCTCCCCCCTCATATTACTAGCACCGTCATAACCTTGTCCACGAACTCTAGACAAACTCAATGAATATTCCATAAGCAAAGACTCAATTGCACTCTTTAGTGACAAAGCAGTAGTATCCTTAACATGTACAATTCCAAGAAACCTCTCATTTATCTTCCCTTTATTATTGACGTAACGCAAGCAAAGGGCCATTTGTTCCTTTTGAGATACATCACTTGATTCATCAGCCATTATTCCAAAATAGTCATCCCCAATATCATCAATAAGAAGTCTAGTGGTTTCTTTGGCACAACAATTAATAAGTTCTTTTTGAATTGAAGGACTAGTCATTCGATTATTTCTCGGGGCATTACCTAGAACAACCTTTGCTACCTCACTATTATTTTCTGAAAACCATGTAAAGAGTGCAAGAAAATTACCCCTATTCCAAGATTCTTCACTTTCATTATGCCCACGACAAGCTAAACCTTGATTTAAAAGAAATCTAATACATTTCAATGAATAAGTCAAGCGAGATTTGTATTGTAGTTTAGCTTCCTTAGAATAAGTGCAAAGAGATTCAACAACTGATGTCTTTGGGTTGATAAACATACTATATTTCTCATTAGCCTGATTATGGAAACTACCAATACCACCCACATGGACATCAAATCTACCAGTCTTATTCCATCCTCTAAATCCCCCTTTAATAAAGGAATCATTAACAACCAGAGAATAATCAACTTTATCAGTGAACAAATAGCACACAAAACAAAAAGCCGCATCTTTCTCAACACTATATTCAAGCCACTCATATTTATCAAACCAAGTAACATTAAAACGACGCATACCTCCAACTTTTCTTTGAGGAAAATTATGTGTGCGTGGATAACAACGTTTCTTTGTAATATAGCCTCTCCTTACGGCATCTCGATCATTAGGAGGATACTCCATAATTGGAATTCTTTTTCCAGGGTCATGTGGAAGAAGATCAACATCATAAATGCGAGTATCATCGGAGTCAACAGTAGTATTTGGAACACTTGGACCTGTGTTCTCAGGTGGTGGAATTGTTGCAGCAATAGGAACCTCATCATCATTAGGAGACACATGTTCTTCTATTGGAGGATCCCTTGAACTAGGTGAAGAACAAGTTGAAGACTTTTGTGACTTCCCGGCACGTTTCCAAAATGACTCTAAACTCATGGTATAATAGGTATATACTGCTAGTCTGTTACACACACATGATAAATGCAGAATGAAATCAATGAATGAATGATAAATCTAGAAAGCTAATTAAAACTATCGTAATTAAAGATTACAGTCAATTACTCAATTAGTAAACGAAATCTAGACGGCAAAAAACGAAATAGCATATGAAATTATGAAAACTAGAAGGCAGAAAACGAAATACAGAAAATAGCATATGAAATTCAACAATGTAACAAAAAAAAATCCCCAAATTGAGAACTTGAGAAGTAAATTAGATAATTATAACCAAACTTCAGCAATTTACAAAAAATTGGCAATTCGTAATGTATATTAGCAATTTAGCATATGAATTTCAAGTATTCAATGATTTAGCAAAAAAAAATCCCCAAATTGAGAAGTAAATTACATTTGCAAAAAAAAAATCCCCAAATTCACTTACCTACATACACCGATACACGGCTGTGAGGCTGTCAGTGCTGTGACGGACGACGGTGGGTCTGCTGGCCTGCTGGGTGAGTGGCTGGAGCGCTGCCGCTGCCACCGTGTTCTGGCGTTCTGCTGGCTGCTGCCGTGTTGCGTCGGGAAGAGAAGGAGGAAGAACGGGAAGAGAAGGACTGAAGGAGGAAGAACGGGAAGAGATTAAGAGAAGGAGGAAGAAGTTAGGGTTTTGCAATTTGGGGGAATGAGGAAGAGGAAAGCTGGAAGCAGGGAAAGCTCAGGAAACAAAATTTTTTAAAAAAAGTGTGAGTTATGGGTTTTGAACCCACAAACTCTTGTGTGATGGGAGGTAAAAACAACCACTAGGCTACAACTTTACTTGTTGTCATATATTACACAAACATTCTATTTAAACCTATTTTGATTTTTTTTTTTTTTAAAAAGAAAGTTTTTAATTTTTTTCAAAAAATCAGTGGGTTCAATGAACCCACTTAAACCCACCCTAGCTCCGCCACTGATTAGAGAAGTATGCCATATTTTCTTGCCCACACGAAGAATAACTTCTTGGTTTCGGCAGGGGAATGCTGTTGCATCCACTTTGCAGGAATGTCCTTCAAAAGAACAGTCAAAAGTTCAAAACTCATTTCCGAAATATACTGGAAAGTAGAAACACCGAAACAAGAAAAGAAGTGTTTCCGAATATAATTACCAAGAAAAATCTTTTGTAAACACTAGTAGGCTGCATTACTGCAATGAAGCTATCTTCACTTTGTTTCGGATTAGCCCTTAGCAAAGCATCCTCTTTCTCCACTTCAGTCACTGGCCTTCTGTTTGACATGTACTCCTTCACCACAGACTTTCTTTCTTCCGAAACTATTTTGAGCAAAAATTAAAAAATAAGTATAATCCTGAAATTACTGATATTTACTGAAATCAAAACCCAGTTCCAGAATATTAAATAAATCCTGTAACGGATCCGCCCTTTTCATTTTGGTTAAAGGAGAAAATTATATTAAGCATGTGCTAAAGGCGCACTTGGAGTATCAAAAGATACAGTCATTAGGATAGAATATTAGAGTTATTACAGTCAACAGAAACTTGTTTGAAATAGCAGCTAGGATTAGGAGACTAGATTTATTACAACATTATTGATAAATGGGTTAGTCCCTAAGGAGAAAGCAACATAAGAAATTGGAAGTTCCTTTCTAGCTAGCTTAGCTAGATGATCCGCTGCATCCACCATGGGATGGCTGACACACTGTTGAGTGCTTCCAATCCTAGCCTCTTGTGCCCTGGCCTGAAAAGAATATACACGTTGAACTATTGATCAGCAATTTTTAAGTTCCTTGTTACTCCTAGGACAGTAGCCATAGAATCTGATAAGAATGCGAAGTCCTGCCCGTCATTGGGATGAGAATGGCTATAAGCTCACCCAGACTACGGAAACGAGGTGGCTTAGCCTTATGACCAGGACTCTGATCCATTGGAGATGTTGAAAGAGGGTAAAGATGGAAAAAGAAGCATCAGTGAAGATGAGAAAAGTTGGATGATTTGAGGAGGGGTGAGAGCAGAGAAGTCCCAGGTTTTACTTACACATTAGTTTTAAAATAAAATAAAATTTGAAAACCCATAAATTCTTTCCACACTTAACAATCAAATGAACCCCATTTAATATCATTTTGTTCACAAAATATATTATGATCACCACTTCACCAGTATCATATATCAAGATCGACTCCATTATCAGAGATACCATCGACAAACTTCTCGTCCTTCGCTTCGGCCGTTCTTCCGACCCCGCTTGCCTCCAACTCGACGATATCGTATTCTCTCTCCTCACCCTTTTTTTCCCATTAATTTCATTGCTTCATTTATTGCTGTAACACTAACTACAATTTCTCAAGGAACATTATTTTACCATGATTGCTTGCATTTCTATGTTTGATTTTTACAATTTTAGAAGAATATTGTTCTAACCCTTTTTGAATTTCTGTTTTTAATCCTGATTGACAGTTTTGGTTCTGGGTGATTTTCAGAATTATTTCATGTTATTTTAGAGAAATTTGTTGTTGGAAAAAGATGATGATGTTTGATTATTTAAAGGGCTGTTTATTTCTTTGTTTGGTCTTTCCAAGGAATCAATATATGTGTCTATTATACACGCGGGTGTAATATTATGGATTCAAAGATGCTTTAGGGGAGCTAGATTGTCTGTCTAATTGATAAAGTTGGGGGGTTTGATTATAATCATAGCATAATGCTCAATTTCGAATGGCTTTGATTACTTTTAGGCATTAGTTTGGTTATTTTGATGCCGAGGATGAGTGGTTTTTCGATAAAGTTGCCACTGTTAAATTTTTTGGTTCATGAATTTATGTTTGGATGATGGATATAACTCCTTGTTTTCGTCTTTGTTGACGCAGTTGGCGAAATCTTCTCATGATGTCTCCAAATTTGCTAGTATTGCGTTGGTTGATATTGATTCAGAGGATGTGCAGGTGTATGTCAAGTACTTTGACATCACACTAATACCTTCAACTATCTTTTTCTTTAATGCACACCATATGAAGATGGATTCTGGGTATGTTTAGTTTGTCTAAGAAATATTGTTGTTCATATTATTATTATTTTTCAATTAGTTGTTGGCATTTCTTGTCAATTCATGTTATAGTTTAGCAATTTCTTTGATTATGTTGTCAGATCCATTCGTTGAGAAATAATGTGTTTGCTGTTGTTTATGATTACACTGTGTATTGCCTGGGGTCACGACTCATGAATGATATCTCGAATTACCCACTTCTGCATATCTTTTCTTCTGAAGTCACAGTTGCACTTAATTAGTTGTGTATAGTTGATGTCTTTTCATGAATCTCTACCGTTTCTCTGGAATTGTTTACCCAACCTGGAATTTCTCTGATTATGCATTTGAGATCTGGATTTAGCTGAAGAATAGTTCAGTTAGGTCTGATCTTCATCAAATTCTTTATATCATATACACATTTGTGTTTAGGCTATGCTTTCTATATCACTTTTCCACCGTATTTCTCTAGTCTGTAGGAGTTAACCGAGGAAATGGTGGATCTGGTTCAGAGTGGCCACTGACTGAGGATGAGCTGATTAATATGAAATTAATAAAATTATGAATTTGCATGTGAAGTTGATCTGAAGTGCGAAATGAGACTGAGTTAAATTTGTTGCTTGTAGGTGAACTTTGATTTTTATCATTCTGGAGGAGTTTTTCATCAGTATGCTGACATTTGGCAAAAAGATTTAATTCTCCATTTTTATCAATAGCACATGTTATTATAAATGCATATCTGGAATTAAAGTAGTTTTGGAAGAGATAAAATTCATATTTACTTGCTTTTACTGTGGTACACTGCCACTGGTACCAATTGTCTCTGTGGACAAATGCAAGAGTCATGGTGGTTTAACATAAAGATGATAGGAGTTTGTTATCTTGGTGGTTAAACACTCATTTAGTCATGGTGGTTTAACTAAATGAGTGTCAATTCTTTAGTTTATTAAACTTCGCTTTGTGATTTCCTAACTACTACCTCCGTAAAGAAAACTTTTGTTGCACATAATGTGTAGCAACCGTTTTTAATAAATGTTGCGCATAATATGACACGGAAGTAGGTTTTTTTTTTTTTTTTTTCATCTATGTATTTGTCATTTCCCAAGGTGCTTGGTTTAGAAGTTATTGTGTCAAACATGACAAATCGTTCTTGTTCCTGCATGGATGGTGAGAAGTTTTTGCATGCCTAACAAGCGTATTTAATTATTTATGTTAGTGACATTCAGAAAGCAAAGCATGCTTATGTTTTTGGGATATATGCCATGTTACAGTGTTTATTTTAATCTTAGACTTGTAAGATTGAGGTTTCTTCATTATGTTGAAACAGGACTGCAGATCACACTAAATGGATAGGAGCATTTCACAAAAAACAGGATTTTATTGATGTCGTCGAGGTTAGTGTTAACTGGAATAATTTTGACTCATTGTTGTGTTACTTGGATTTTGCAATTCTATCAAACTAATATGCCAGATTTCAGTTGGGGAAATTAACACTCATTTAGTTAGACAACTTTTTCTGTATATTTTTCTTATTCTTCAATTAGACTGATCACACTGTTCCATTAAGACACTGATGGTGTCTGACTGTCAGCTACATGAATACTTAGCTTTGGTCTAGAGG